GTTTCTTAAAACCCTGACTAATGACACAAATGGTAGGGCAAGTGGAGACGAATCTTCACTCAACTGCTCTTTTGAAGAGAAGTCTCAAGAGGGTAATATGACATGGCCTTAAAAAATGTGACATCCATGGAGACAAGCCATCTACCACAAGGAGTATGATAACACTTGAAACCTTTTTGAGTGGGGCCCCAAACATCAGTTTGAATAACTATAAATTGAGAAGTACTTTTATTAATACTAATAGGAACGGCACTAGATGGTGTTTAGCAAGTTCACAACAAAATTTGAAAATATCTAATTGAGAAAATAAGTATGGAAAAAATTTCCTTAACAATAGAAATGAAAGATGTCCTAATTAGGGGTGTTCACGGGTCAGTTCGTACTGGTTCTAGTATTAATCCGTCACCCGAACCGATCCTTGTGGGTAGAAGAATTGCACATCCGATTTCAACTGATAGGCAGTTCAATATCGCATGCGTCGGGCCTCACGGTTTGTTGGTCAAATTTGGTCGAGTTCTCGGTTCCCATTAGCAGCTCATTTTTATATGTCACACAAGCACATATACAAACAGATTTGAGAGAGATGAAGAAACTGGGAAGACTGTTGTTGTGTGATGTTGACATGCATAACTATTCGATCTAACCCAAGACCATGGTGCTTGTTGATAACCGAATAGATGTAGATGCAATAAACCGTGAGGATTGAAGAGGGGTTGAGGGAGAGAGGGTTTGGCGAGAGGAGAGGTCGGATGAAGGAGAGAGGAATATCAAAGTTCCGCCAAAAGAAAGGAAGAGTTAGCATACATAAACCTTTGTATATTAGTATATATATAACCCAGACATCATGTATATCATAGCATATGTCATGTATGTGTGGTGATATAATTATAATCATGTAATATATTATATTATATTATATTATATGTATGTAACCGTACTTATTAATCACATGTATCAATGCATAGAAAATATCAAACCTAAATGATTGTGTATTATAGGCTAGGGTTAGGCACTTTAGTACTGTACTATTGGTCAAGCATTTATTGGAGTGTTTACTTGCATTTGAAATTTGAAATGAAACGGTGAATGAAAGTCTGACAATTTTTTTTGAACCTTGTGCTACCTTCTCTGTAACTGGTACGGACTCAAAGTTTTAATGTTATTATTACACGAAGCCCCAAGAGTTTTAATTGCTATTTGACTATTATTTCGGACGGTCCGGGTTTATTTAGTTTCCAAAGGAGTGGAATCATCCACCGACTATAACATTGATGAATCTTGCCTACGGAATCCAAGCCGACCGTGGAGTGTCTTTGAAACCGACCACAATCATTCGGTTCGGTTTGGATTGGTCGGTTTTATCGGGTGATTCGGTTTTTTGAACACCCCCTAGTCCTAATCTTCGATGCATGAGCCAAAGCTTCTACAATGATGGTAGAGGAAAGTGTTAGGGGAAGGGGCAAACCTAAATTGACGTGGACTAGTGTAGTAAATAGTGATATGAATCACTTTTATTTGATTAACCAAATAGCCTTTGATAGAATCAAGTGGAGAAGAAAGATTTATGTAGCCGACTCCATTTGATGGGAGCAAGGTTCTGAAAAGCGGTTGCGGTCGCCGTAACGGTGGCGGTGACGTGGTTGCTGTAGCGGGGTGTAAAGGCCGTAGTGTAACGGTTGCGGTAACCGGAACTGTGAATTTTTTTATTTTTCACACAATTTGAAAAAAACTTACCAATATGCATATTTTTTTTCCTTGATCATATTTATTGGGTTAAAAATAAATATTGATCAATTTTTGCAAATTTTAAGTATGATCCAATATATTTCATATTTTTAAATCACTACAAATTGAGTTTTTTACATTTTATTTTAATAATTAATGACTTTATATTATACAAAAAATCAATCACTAACTATTATATATAAGATAAACAATGACAAAAGTAAGAGAATAAATAAGAGTCTAAATATATATATATATACATATTTTAACCAAGCCAAATAGATAATGATTACACTTATTATTATTATTATTTTCAAACAATATATAGATAGATACACATAAACAAAATGGTTTAGTAATAGCAGCTGAATAGAATAACATAGGTTTTATAGTTTCAACAAATTAATAACATGTTTTTCATCTTCCCTCTTCTCTCTCTCTCTCTCTATCTCTTGCTCCTCCGTTTTCTTTATTTATCTTCCCTCTTCTCTCTATCCCCCTTCTCCCATTTTTAGCTTTTTTTGTGTGTTTTTTCGAAAGAAACAGTTTGGAACCGTTATGTAACGGTGCGTAACAGGCTGTTACGGCACCGTTACGACTGCTACAGCCGACACACCTGTGAATCTCAATCACACTGCAAAAGCGGCCATAACGGGTGGCGGTAACTGCCAAAACCATTACGTAATGACGTTACGTAATGGTTGCGGCCGCTTTTTAAAACCTTGGATGGGAGGCTTGGTTTGGTAAGACCACTAGCAGAGAGAAGATTATTACAAAGATTAGGAATGTGCAACATAGAAGAAAGAGGAATGGATGGAGTAACATAAGTTGAACCTTTGCCAGACACAAAAGAAAGAGTACCATAAGCTATTTTAACATACCTGAGTGGGAAAAATCAGTCTTATGATCAGAAGCCTTTGAATCAATAATCCAAGGATGGTAAGAATATTGTCAGGAACACTTGATGCAATAGAAGCATTACCTGAGTGGGAAAAAAGCAGATGTAGAGGATAAGATACCCATTTGTGGCATAAGGTGACGAAGGTTTCCACTTCGTCCTTGGTAAGAACCACAAACTCAGGCCCCATTTGGCAGCCAAAACATCACATCATTAATAACGGGACCCACTGCCACCTAATTAGTGGGAGCACTAATTAGTGCTCCCAAGCATTTTTCATAGAAGCATTACCTGAGTGGGAAAAAAACAGATGTAGAGGATAAGATACCCATTTGTGGCATAAGGTGACGAAGGTTTCCACTTCGTCCTTGGTAAGAACCACAAACTCAGGCCCCATTTGGCAGCCAACTTTTTGGCCAAAAAAGCCAAAAATAGCCAAAATGTCACATCGAAGGCGTGAAGAAAACACACTTGTGCGTTGATTTTTAGGCGAAGCACTAGTTATGTGCAACTCAACACCTCAGAGGCATTTGCATCTGGAACGGTTTTTGCACTTTCCACACATCAACGAATGAAGCGTACAAATTCGAATAAGAGGAAGATACAAATGCCATTAATGCTATTGACCTTCTTTATAGTCCAAATTACTTTGACTTCGACATTGACATGTCTTCTTCTTCAACGAAGTAGGTTTTTCACATAATCTCTCTCTCTCTCTCTCTCTATTTTGGTTGAATAGTCTTCAAACTATTTTTGTGACATGACATTCTCCGTATCTGGTGGAGTATTTATTTTGCCTAAATGACCTTGGTTGGACTCTTGTATTTGTTGCATAACTGGTCTCTTTTTTATTTATTTATTTTTTAGTGTTATTGTCTCGCATATTGGCTGATTTGTTAATTCTTTTTGCTTTTATGTATATGTATGAAATGGTTTTTATGAATTTTGTTTGTTATTCCCTATTTTTTATTCCCTATTTATTTATGTTTATATTTTATTAAAAAAAAAAAGAAACAGAATTCAGAAGGTTTATGCCTTGCATCTTCAGGTGTAAAATGCCTCACCTTGCACTTTCGCCTTTAAAAACTGTGCTTAGTATTGTGAATCCTGCACTTCAATTCATACACTTGTGCCATAGTCCCTTCCTTTGGGTAGATCTGTGCAGCTGCATCCCAAATCTCCTTTGTGGTATCCATGAAAAAATGCCTGCAATTGATTTCAGGCTCTATAGAGTTGAGATGCCATGATATGGCAGCGGAATTCGGGAAGTCCCACTAATCATAACGTGGGTTGTTGTCCCTTGGTTACACAATTTGTCGAGTTACATACCGTATTTTCTCTCTACTTTTGATAAACAACTTGGCTGATTGAAACCAAGACAAATAATTGCGCCCATTAAGCTTCACCATGGTACTTTGTAAGGTAGGATTATGCGTTACAGTTTGGAGAGAAGTAGCCAATGATTGTTGACTGTTGAGAAACCACACTTCATTCTGACATTTTTTAGCGGCCCAACAAATTATCACAAGTTTACCAAACTAAAAGGTTCAGGAGAGACCTGTTGTGTGCCAAACCAAAGAAGAGGGCCAATAAAAAGAAGTTGCTGCTGGGAAGGTTAGTGTACCAAAAAAAAAAAAACAAACAAAAAAATAGTTCACTGTTACATTGCACAAGAAGCCTTAGACCAACAGCCAAATGCCTCAAAACACCTTCAAATCCTCAAAAGTCAGTCAACACTTCTCAAGAACCCTTGGTAATGCTTCTAGAGTGTAAGTCGGCCCCTTCTCTTATTGAAGAACCAATAAAATTGTTCCTAGAATGCTTCAATAGACAGATCTGAAAATACTCAATGTTTTTTTTTTGCTAAAAGTAAGAAAAAATTGGGAAACCCATAGTAAGGCCTGTCCAATGGAAACACAAAAAATATTGGGTGAGTGAGCTCTCCTAGTCGATCACAGAAAGTTTTATCAGATTTGAAGAGAATAAAATAAGAATGAAAAACAGAAGAGATATAATGTTGTATGAAAATAGGAGAGAATGATAACATTAGGGTTTTCTCCCTTAATTTCTTATATTATACTTTTCTATAAAAAATTACAAAACTAACCTTCTACCTAATATACAACCAACAGCTTATGCAATTGCCACACCATGGTGGAGTTGAATTAATTAACATCCCCTAAGTTTAGGCAAGAAAACTTGTGTTTGTTTTCTTTAATACACTGAGTTTTCAGACCATGGGAATCTGGAAAGCATTTATGCATTGTATTGAGTCCTTCTATCTTGAACTTTAGGGACAATACATATTTCTGGGTTATTTAGTTTCCAATATAACCAAATGGATACAGTAATGTTCACTGTTTATGTGCACCTGCAGTTGAGGATATGTGTCAGCGGTATCCAAATGCAATTGAAGTGAACGTATATGGTGCTCCTGCTATTCATTTGCTTGTTATGAAAGCAGTTTCATCATTAAGGTATATGGTCTTTCATCTTGTTGAAGACAGATAATTTTGTTAGGACCGCTGCTGATATATCTGATGTTTTTCAGGAATCTTGAGGCTCTAACTTTGGGAAAAGGACAACTAGGGGAAACTTTTTTTCAAGCCCTAACAGATTGCCAACTGTTAAAGAGTCTTGCTATTATTGATGCTACCCTTGGTAATGGTATTCAAGATATACCTGTATACCATGATAGATTGAGACAACTTCAAATTGTGAAATGCAGAGTGCTCCGTATTTCCGTCAGGTGACACAGTAGTAATTAATCGGACAGAAGTGTAATGTTTAGTTAACCTGTTCAATTTTTTGCTAAGTTTCATGCTATGCAGGTGCCCACAACTTGAAACTTTGTCTTTGAAGCGCAGTAGTATGGCTCACGCAGTGCTCAACTGCCCTCTTTTGCATGATCTTGATGTAGCCTCTTGCCACAAGTTTTCAGATGCTGCAATTCGTTCAGCAGCAACATCATGCCCGCTTTTAGAGTCTTTGGATATGTCAAATTGTTCATGTGTGAGTGATGAAACGCTACGTGAAATAGCCCTTACTTGTGGTAATCTCCATGTTCTTAATGCGTCATACTGCCCAAACATCTCTCTTGAGGTCAGTGATCTTACTTTTGACTATTCCTGTGCTGGTTATGTTTGGATATGCCTTAAGTTGACACGATTTGTTGCTTTTGTTGAAGTCTGTGAGACTACCAATGTTGACAGTTCTCAAGCTTCACAGCTGTGAGGGCATAACTTCAGCTTCAATGGCGGCAATATCTCATAGTTACATGTTGGAGGTTTGAAGCCTCTTAATTGTCTCATAAGTTAGCATTGCCCAGGCGTTATTCAATGTGTGAATAGTAAATGAAATCAAAATTTTGTTGCGATGTAGGTCTTGGAGCTTGACAATTGCAGCTTATTGGCAGCAGTGTCTTTGGATCTTCCACGCCTGCAGAATATAAGACTCGTCCATTGTCGCAAGTATATTTTGCTGCTCTAACCTCATATTGTGGCAGGGGAACTGCTTAGTTAAATTTTTGGTACACTGTTGTGGACAGTAACTCATGTTATTATAATGCCTGCAGGTTTGTTGATTTAAATTTACGAAGTATCATGCTGTCATCTATTGCAGTGTCAAATTGCCCTTCTCTCTTGCGAATTAACATCACATCAAATTCACTACAAGTATGTCTTTCATTAAATTGTTTATTATTTTCTTTTTCTCCATGTTGTCCTTTGTTTTCAGAGAGGTATGAATCCTGAAGGTATGGTTGGTTTTATGTTTATGCAGAAATTAGTGCTGCAAAAGCAAGAAAGCTTGACAACTTTGGGATTCCAATGCCAATGTTTGCAAGCGGTGGACCTTGCAGATTGTGAATCTCTAACAAATTCTATCTGCGAAGTTTTCAGTGATGGTGGTGGATGCCCTATGCTAAAATCATTAGTTCTTGACAACTGCAAGGTGTGTGTGAACATAGTTCTTTGCATTTTTCTGTTTCTGTAGTTTAGTTGAAGTCCTTTGCATGTTCAATTGAGGATGTAGCTTTATATGATTTGTTGGGTTTTCATATCTTGCTGTGACTGTTTTTTTTCCTTTCATTCTCGTCTTAAGTTTTCATTTCTAATTTATGAAATGTAATTGTTTTTGTTTCTTAATGGAACTTTTTTTTTTTGGTAAACAATTAAGCCAGCCACTTTGAGGAAATTTTGTTGGAGATACTTCTTTGGACATGTGTCACATATTCATTTTTTCTGTTTCCAAGAGCAGTGAACATTGTGCAAAAAGGTTGTGGATGTAGATGTACTACGTAAGCATATCTGGAAAGATTTCCTTTCATATGTGTTTACTGAATTGGAGTTTCTCATATCTAATTTTGGAAAATGGGATCAATGAAAATTTTGAAAAGCATTTTTTTCTTTTCTTTTTGGATTGTTTTTGTTTCTTAATGGACCACCCTTTTTTTAAAAAAAACAAAGAAAATTAAAAAGCAATGGAAGCTGCTTATGCACCTGTTAAAATCCACCTACTCTCCACCTACTTCACCCACTTAAACCTACTCCACTAAACCTAACCCACTACACCACTACCACCTCACCTACTCCACTAAACCTAACCCACTAAATCCACATACTCTCCACCTACTTCACCCACTTAAAGGGAAGATTTCCTTTCGTATGTGTTTACTGAATTTGAGTTCTCAGTTCTACCAGATGCTTCTTTTATTTGTTTATTTATTATTTTTGTTTAAGCCTGTGTGGTTGCTGCACCACATGGTGTTCTGTTAACTGCTTGATACGTATACTGCAATATGCGCTCTTTTTTCAATTTATGTTATGATGACTGAATGTGGTTAATTTTCCTTTTTCAGAGCTTAACAGCTGTGGGATTATGTAGTAATTCTTTAGTCAGTCTTTCTCTTGCTGGTTGTCGTGCTGTTACTTCTCTTGAACTCACATGTCCTTATCTTGAGAGTGTTTCTTTGGATGGCTGTGATCATCTTGAAAGAGCATCATTTTGCACTGTGAGTGGAAACAATTGCATCTCTCTCTTGAAATTAGAATGCTGTATTATTGTTGACTATTATATATGAGTTAGTTGGGGCATAACTTCGGCTTTGGTTTGGGCTTCGCCACAGCCTTGAGCTTCACTGCAGCTTTCAGCTTCACGGCAGCCTTCGGTTTCACAGCAGCTTTTGGTTTTGCAGCTGGCTTGGCCTTTGCCGCTGGCTTGGGCTTCACAGCGGCTTTAGCTTTTGGCGCAGCAGCTTTTGTCTTAGCCGGAGCCTTCTTTTCCTTTTTCGTTTTTACAGCCTTCGGCTTTGCTTCCCTCTGGTGGCTCCCCAGGTTCCACCTGAGCTGCATGATTTATTTATAGCTGCAATTGATAAGGGAAGTATTAGAACAATGCCCAATAGAAGTATGCCAGCTGCTCCTTACCCTACTCCTGGAGCACTATTAATAGGTGATGCTTTCAACATGCGTTATCCTTTAACTGGTGGAGGAATGACTGGAGCCCTGTATAAGGTGTTTTGTGCATCTCCTGATCAAGCAAGGAAGGAAATGCGTGAAGCATGTTTTGATTATTTGAGCCTTATATGCGCTCTTTTTTCAATTTATGTTATGATGACTGAATGTGGTTAATTTTCCTTTTTCAGAGCTTAACAGCTGTGGGATTATGTAGTAATTCTTTAGTCAGTCTTTCTCTTGCTGGTTGTCGTGCTGTTACTTCTCTTGAACTCACATGTCCTTATCTTGAGAGTGTTTCTTTGGATGGCTGTGATCATCTTGAAAGAGCATCATTTTGCACTGTGAGTGGAAACAATTGCATCTCTCTCTTGAAATTAGAATGCTGTATTATTGTTGACTATTATATATGAGTTAGTTGGGGCATAAAAGTCACTATCACTGCAGTCCATCCTTTTATGCCTTTGATTTTATACATTGAGATGCTTTTGCATCAACCTTTCAAGCTCAAAGTGATTGTTTTTAATTCAGGTTGGTCTTCAGTCTCTTAATTTGGGAATATGTCCTAAACTAAGTGTACTCCATATTGAAGCACCACATATGAAGTTGCTTGAGTTGAAAGGATGTGGCGTATTATCTGAGGCATCTATTAATTGTCCTCTTCTAACTTCTCTGGATGCTTCCTTTTGCAGGTCTAACTTCTTTCTTCCCTTCTTTTTTTCTCTCCCTGTCTATGTCTCCTCAAGCTAACATTATTCTATTTCACATGCACAGCCAACTGAAAGATGACTGCTTATCTGCAACAACTGCTTCATGCCCGTGTATTGAATCACTAATATTAATGTCATGTCCATCCGTTGGTCCTGAAGGACTCTCTTCTTTGCGGCGGCTTCCAAATTTGACCTCACTTGATTTATCTTATACCTTTTTGATGAACTTGCAGCCTGTTTTTGAGTCCTGTTTGCAGTTGAAGGTGAATTTCATCATCCAAGTATATGAACCATAAACATGGATGGGTTTTGAGTTTTATGCCGACACGCATGCATAAATATCTAGATCAATATGCATTGTTCTGAGAGTTTTTAATTGCTTTAATGTTATAGTGGTCATATTTCATTCATACTATACTGCTAGTGGACCTTCATTAGGGCTTATAATTGGTTGGTTTTCTTACATCTTTCTGAGCAATGAGCATTAACAAGTGAGTCCGAAGATGGCACATTTCATGGAATACGATCACCCATGGTTGGGTTGATCTGTGGTTTCCATCTGAACCACTGGCTGATAGATAAATTTGCCGCCCCCGGGGGGGGTTGGTTTCGTGTAAGGCTGTCAACTAGTGATTGGCAGTGTGCAAAATTCCGTTCCCAATGATTAGCTCTGAGCAAATTGATGGGGATTGGCACCTTAAAGTTGATATCTGGGAAAGGAACAAAAGAGAAACAGCCATATGGTTCATTACTGAGCTGATGGGTCTCACCATTGACGTATGTTATGGGGAATTGTTTTTCTAGCCTGCATATCCTCCCTACCAAACACAACAAATAAGTAATATTAATAGATTAATACAGCTTGTTAATCTCAACCAGTTAATTTTTCTTCCAAGGTTAGAATGCCTTTTCTTTGTTATTTTCACTTCAACTGCTTCTTTTCTTGTCTTCTGCAAGGTTTTAAAGTTGCAGGCATGCAAATATCTTGATGACTCATCACTGGAGCCTCTTTACAAAGAAGGTGCTCTCCCAGACCTTTATGAGTTGGACCTCTCATATGGAAGCCTCAGTCAGTATGCCATAGAGGAACTTCTGGCTTGCTGTACTCATCTAACTCATGTGAGCTTGAATGGATGTGTGAATATGCATGACCTAGATTGGGGTTTTAGTAGTGATCGGCTTTCTAGCATTTGTGGTTCAGCTGACTTGTTTTCTCAAGATGATGCCCACCTTCCAATGGAGCAGCCCAATCGTTTGTTGCAGAACCTCAATTGTGTTGGTTGTCCAAACATTAAAAAAGTTCTTATTCCTCCAGCAGCAGGGTGCTTCCAATTGTTATCACTTAACCTTTCTCTGTCTGCAAATTTGAAAGAAGTTGATGTTGTTTGTCTCAATTTATGCTTTCTTAATTTGAGGTACAATTTCTCTTTTTTATTTCTTTTTTTAATTTCTTATTTTTAAATACTGTTAGACCCTTTTTTTCCTTTTTACTTTTTTTCTAATTTTTTTATTTTTTATTTTTATGTTATGTTGTCAGCAATTGTTGCTCCTTGGAAATTTTGAAACTCAAGTGTCCAAAGTTAACTAGCCTCTTTCTTCAGGTATGCTTTTTCCGGTTATTATTATTTTACTGGATTTGGCTGTTTAAATAATTGTGCAGAAAATATTTTTGCCGAAACAAATGGAGTGTAAGAACCTAGTCATTCTTTATTAAACTCAAACCAAATGAGAGATCAATGGTTAAATAGTTGCTTGATCAACTATATAGAAAATGATGTGTTGGACAATGAGGTTATTATGTAATAATTCCAAAAAATGACACCTCGTTGAATACGATTGTAAAAGTTTATATATATCTTTTCTTTTGTTAAAACGATAGTATTTTATTAAAAAAAATTTTACTTGAAGGTGGAGAAGTTCAAATATTAATTAGCCTTTTTTTTAATAAAGTTTATGAACTTAATTTTTTTGAGGGACCCCACCTATAAAATTTTCTGGAGTTGCCACTGGTGGTGTGGGGAGGGGGTGATGGTGCAGGGGCAGTGGTGTGGGGAGGGGTGATGGTCAATTGCAATGGGGAGCTAGTGGGAGCTGGAGGGGGTAGACCCACCGTTGATTTGTGACAATGGAGAGAGATCAGAGTATGAGATAGACTTAGAGAGTACCTGTGATCTATGAAGCATAGACACTATATGTAGGACAACGCGGGAATTTAGTGTTTCAATTAATGAATGAAATGAACTAGGTTTAGGGTTGATGAAAGGAAAGGAAAGAGATCAAAACAGGGGTTGTGGAAGTGTTGAAATTTAATAAATAAAGAAAGAAGAAAATAGTTATAGGAATCACTCTTAGAATCTCTTAAGCATCACAGTTGGGTTTGATTGTATCACACCATTTATAAAAAAGCATCAAAGCTTTTGAAATTCTCCAAAACATCAATTCTATTGAATTATAATCATTATATGACTTTATATGGACTTAAGAGACTGACTATTCAACTAGAACCAAAAAAGAAAACTACATAAATACTTTGACTTCCAAAACCAATTTAAGACCAAATAAAAAAATCTAAGTAAAAATCAATTAAATAACTTAACTCGCAAGACAACTCATGGGTGATCCTTACAACCCATGTTTGCAAATATGAAAATTACCAAAATACCTAACCTAAAAATAGTAGAAAGCATAAAAATGATCAAAAAATAAGACTAATAATACTAGAAATATAATTATGTATAGTTCCTATTGGTTTTTCTTTGAAATCATGACAATTTTCAAATATTGCCACTTCTTTGAATTTATTCATCCTTGAGCTTCTTATATTCTTCATCACATGGACATGGGACACGGGACGTGGATATGACATGACTTGACACGGACATGTCGACACGGCAAATTCCAAAAACGTAGGATACAAACACAGTTTGGGCACGCCAATTTTTTTTTTTTTTTTTATCTTGATATTATATAGTTATATATGTGCATAATATATACACAATTAAATAATTACTTTATATTAAATGTTGTATCTAATTCTCTTGCATGAGTTTTTGAACTATAGCAAACATATATAATTGTGACTTTTGCCTCATCCTCAGCCATCTACTATGACATTTATGCTTCCTTTTGCATTTTTCATTTAATTTTTTGTGAAACTTCTATAGAATTATTCTTAATAATTATAATTTTTTTAAGGATATAAGATATTTATGTGAAATTCTCAGAACTTTGAAAATTGTACGCTAGTAATGTCCAAGAAATGTTGGTCTCATGTTTCTTTTTTAGTGATGCACATGGCCAAGAAGTGACAGATTCATTGCAAAATGGTCTGAAACTTATATTTTTATTTTTAATTATGGACACAGAAAAAAGAATATCCGACACTTGTCCGAGAGTGTCCACGGAGTGTTGGTTTCCGACACGTGTCCAACATAGACACGTCACCTTCTTATAACTGTTGGTGCTTTTTAGGCTGTGATCGAGTCTGAGTTGTATCTAGAATGATCTAAATGATCTTTGAAGTTTAAATGATAGGGTTTGGGTTTTGGTTTTGGAGTGAGGAGTAATTGGGTGTTAGGATGGTTTAAAAAATATATATACAAGACGTAGTACAAATATAGCAAGGGGGGTCGGCACGTGTTACGCTATTTTTAACTGCATGTTCAACAAACATGCTGAAAAATAGATCAAAACTGCCCAATCTGCATGACCAACCCTCCCAAACTGGTGGGGCCGGCGAGAAAAAGCGGGCCAGGCAGGGTTTTGCACAGCCATAACTATATGATAGTAGTTTTTTTTTAATCCTTTATATTGTGCGCACTTGTATCTTACCTTCCACTTGCTTTTCTGGAGACTCCTCTTTAAAGGTTTCTCTCCCGCTCACATGGTGGTTGTTGCATATGTTTCCGCGGTATGACTTTCATACACAAGTTTAACTTCTTCCTTGGTAGAAAGACCCTTGTCATTATGTTTGGACCAACATACACTAGTTAAACTTCTTCCTCGGTGGAAAGTCCCATATCATTATGTTTGGACCACCAAAATTGGCATGATGTTGTGTATTTTGTTATTCAATGCAAGCATACTTTCACAACTGATTTTTCACAGTACATTTTATAGGACTCTGTAACACATGGCCTTGGAATCTACTACTTGTTTTTGTGTTGCTTTCTAATTTTCTTTTTAAACTTTGGTGGCTGCACTATCTATTATCCATCTGGTCAACCCTTAGTCGTGCAACATCGATAAAGAAATGGTTGAAGCTGCTGTATCACAATGTAACATGCTGGAGACCCTTGATGTCCGCTTTTGTTCGAAGGTGAGAAAAATCAATTACAATTTCAATGATTCTCATTTTTTTTTGGTGTTATATTTTGCATACATGAAAAGTTCCTTTATTTTTATTATTAAATAAATAAATGAATATTGTGATGTTGTGTATAGATATGCCATGAGAGCATGGGGAGGATACGGGCAGCATGCTCAAGTTTGAAACGCATCTACAGCAGTCTCTCACCCACATGATGATGATGATGGTGTGATCTAAGACAATACTTTCGTATATCATTATTTGCTTTGTTTTGTTTTGCATGCTCTTAACTCTGTCTTGTAAATTTGTGGCCTCCGTTTTGTTGTGGTGTTTGGCTTGTATGACTACTACATGTTCTGGTCTAATATATGTGGTGCAATAAATTTTCTCCATTACTTATAAATTATTGTTTTTTATTTAAAAAAATGCTACACAAATTTACAAACTTTACTTGGCTCACATATGTGGCAAGCAGTAATATTACTTCAATATTTGAAACGGGCCTTGGTAGAATATTGTGATAGAAACAACTAATGTAAGAAAGTTTTGTAAAATTTGTTTGTTCATATAATGTTCATCTTTTTCGAGAAATAGTTTTTGTCCAAGTATGCCAAACAGTCCATGTTAATTTTTTTTTTTTTAAATTTAAATCAAAATTCAGGGTTTTTTTTTATTTTTTAATTTTTAATTTCAACAGATGTTAAATTTTTTTTTTTTTTTAAAATCTAAATCAAAATTGTCAGGGTTTTTTAATTTTTCAATTTCAACAGATTTAACAAATTAATTCAGAATTAAAAATTCAATTAATCTTGGGTAAATTACAAATATATTTTTTGAAATTTTCCTAAAATATAGATTGCCCTTTTTGACTTGACAATTTTTAATGATATTAAAAAAATATTTTAATTCACAATTCAAATAATTTCATTGTTATAGAAGAGGGTAATTTGGTATTTTATTCTTTTTATTAATTTTATTAAATAAAAAATTATAACAATAAAGTATTTGTAATTTTTAAAATCATAAGAGTCAATTTATAATTTAAGTGAATCTTAGGTGTGACAATTTTTAATGATATTAAAAAAATATTTTAATTCACAATTCAAATAATTTCATTGTTATAGAAGAGGGTAATTTGGTATTTTATTCTTTTTATTAATTTTATTAAATAAAAAATTATAACAATAAAGTATTTGTAATTTTTAAAATCATAAGAGTCAATTTATAATTTAAGTGAATCTTAGGTGTGACAATTTTTAATGATATTAAAAAAATATTTTAATTCACAATTCAATTTTATAATTATAAGAGCCAATTTTTAAAATTAATTTTTTATTTACCCACCGCCGTGACCTCTGTAATTTCTTTTTTCTTTTTTTTTTAATTATTATTTTGTGGTATGAAAATCTGATCTTAGAGCATCTCAAATGGTGGTTGCTATATTGCTATTGCCATTGCTATAATTTGGTAATGAATAATGTTATTTTGCCAAATTATAGCAATGATGCTCCAATGGTCATTTGCCATTTTTGGCAAATCTCAACTAACTTTCCATCTAAGTTTACAGGTGTTGTTTGGATATAAGTTTTTTTTAATTTTATTTTTTGTCTTTTGTGACATTTTTTTACCTGTTTGTTAAAAAAAATTATATATTTATATTATTCCCAACTAGACAAATATAAAAAATTAAAAAAAAATTGAAAAATTGAAAAAATTGAAAAAAATTATATATTTATATTATAATGTCTTTTTATTATAATAAAATTATTTTCATTTAATATCAGCTAATGTATTTTATCTTTTTATTGCCTTCATTTGAAAAATATATTTATGTTTTTTGCATTATACTTTATTGATGTTGCCCCCGTGTTACTCACGTATAAATCATTCTTATTATATTGCTATTTATGTTACTAAATTCCTAAATTAGAAGCATGATTGGATACAGTTTTCTTCTCAAATTCATCTAATAAAGCAAAGGAAACAATGAAAGAGAGTTCTATGCACGCACCAAAAAATCAAAAATGAAATTAAAATATACTACAACATATAAGGGTTTTTAGAGATTAAAAAGTAAAAAATTTGTTACAAAAGACATTAATGTTGGTAGCGTTTGGTAATATTTACGTTTTTTGTTTATGTTTACAAAAATTTTATAAAACTGATTTTTGTTTATTTTTAGAAAAACATAAATTACAAACGCGTTTAGTTTGAACAAAATATTTAAAAAAATTTAAAAACGTAAACTAAAAATTATGTTTGTTCAGGGCTAAAATATTTATATTTATTTTTATTATTTATGACAATAGGATCACACATGATAATTGAAAAAAATTAATTAAAAATAATAATTGAAAAAAATTAATTGAAAAAAAAATAATTGAAAAAAAAATTAATTTGAAAAAAAATTAATTGAAAAAAAAATAAATTGAAAAACAAAATATTTGAAAAACAAAATATTTGAAAAAAAAATTTAATTGAAAAAAAAAATTGAAAACTGAAATTTTTGAGTTTACGTTTTTTCTTCAAATTTATAAACTGAGACAACCATTTATAAATCAAAAAAAAAATTATTAAACAAGTTTTTATGACAGTTTTTAAAATTTTTGTAAATATAAACTAAAAACTAAAAGCGGAATGGTTTCCAAACAGGCCCATTGTGTTTGGTTGGGGGATTTGAGAAGGAATTTGGAAAGAAAAGAGGAAAATGTGTGTGAAACTAGGTGAAATATAGACATATTTTATTCACATTTCACCTACCTTTTCTTTTTCCTTTTCTAAATCCCCCAACCAAACACAACGTTAGGGACCAAATTTTATCGTTACAAGAATAATCGTTAAAAAGTCGTCCCGAAAAGTCAAAAATAAATTTTTTAGCGACAAAATTTTAAAAATGTCACTAATAAATATACTTTAAAGGACAAAATAATTTGGTTTCAAAATGGTTTATTTTTTAAGAAAAACAATTTGATCTCAAAAAGATAATAATTCATCACTAATGTCTAATTTTCGTTGCTAAAAATATAATTACGACATTTTTTGTAACAAAAATATTTGGTGCCAAAAAATTAATTTTACCTCTAAATTTTGATTTCTAAAACCTTATGCTATGTTTGGAACGATTTCCAAACTATGATTCTACTCCTACATTCCAACATGATGTTTGGATAGTATTTTCAAATCACATTTTCACAACATTTACAAAACTCTGCAGAAAATTCTGTGTGAGGCGCAATTTAAAAAAAAAAAATTTAATTTGGTCTAACCGATCGTCCCACCGGTAGTCAAATCAAAGAAAGAGACCCAAATGAGTTCTGTGTCCTAAACCTAAAACTAGATGGGTATTTAAAGGGGAATTCTCCATGCCTTTTGGGTGTGAAATTCCCGTTTTGTCCTTGTTAACATTATTTCATAAATGGTAATGGACCCATAATGTCATTAACTCTCATTGTGAGTAAAGAAGAGATTATGTAAATCCAGTCTGGGAATTCAATTAATTACGTTTAATTTGTGTGTGTATAGAAATGTATAATTTGTTGAAAATTAATGAGGCTGGTTTAGGGACCAGTCAATGAACTCCACCAAAATATATATGGAGTAATGTTACGCATCATGAAATAAATATTATGAAAAGTTTCATAAAATTAATTTAAAGGTAATTGCATAACATACAATAAAATACTATAAATTAGTTCAAGGGTGAAGAATCTTCGTGAAGGTTTTTCATTACATTTCTTTCATAATACCTAGTATTACTGATATATATATATATATAATAAATAAAACTTTTAACAAATTTACAATAATGCAAGAAACATAAATAAGATTCACCTAATATTTTGTTTAATTGGTATATTTATTGGTACGTTTAATTAGTTTTTCTAACACTATTGAAAAATTTATGAAATCTAAAGAAATTTCGAGAAACCATAGGAAAACACTCCAAAATGCATAAAAACTTGTGGGAACTATGTTTAGATGATATTTTTAAAACCTTTTGATATCATTATTTATGGACTTTTCTTTAATTTTTCTTTGCTAATTTTAAATCTAATTAAAATGCATTTTATATAGTTGGAAAGCTTTTTCAAATTACTGAAGTATGTTCAATTTATATATATTTCACATCTTGACCTATTTTAAGCCCAAAAAATCATTATCTACGGTTATTTGATTTCCAAAATGAACTATGAGACGGTGTTCAATCTTCAGATTTGAGTAAGAAAACATATTTTGTTGCAATCTGGTTGAAATTTAAGTCATTTTATTTCTCATCATCAGGAATATGCTATAAGCTTATAAAAATTTGGTGTCAACAAAATTTTTTGTAAATATATTTTTTTTTCAAAAGCACAAAGGCATGCGGACAATATAACAACAACAACAACCACCAAAAAAAATGGGGCCTATTACCTCACCCATTTAAATAATCTTGTGGCAATTCGGATAAAAGATTTTTTAAGAAAATTCTTAATTCTTTAAAAACAAAAGTATTTCTAATAAATGCAACAATGGTAATCCAAAAAATAAAAGAAAGTAAATGCAGCAAGCAACCATTAACGATAAACGACAAAATAATAAATGCCACTACTACATCATCCGATCAAAGGATCTTGTGATAGTTTTGATTGAGAACTTTGTACAAATCTTCGAATAATTCGAAAACAAAAAGATTAGGACATTTTCAAATATAGTGAATGACAAACAAGAAATTTGGATAAAAGATTTTTTAAGAAAATTCTTAATTCTGTAAAAACAAAAGTATTTTTAATAAATGCAACAATGGTAATCCAAAAAATAAAAGAAAGTAAATGCAGCAATTAATCGTTAATGATAAACGACAAAAGAATAAATGACACTATTACATCATCCGATCAAAGGATCTTGTGGTAGTTACGATTGAGAACTTTGTACAAATCTTTGAATAATTCGAAAACAGAAAGGTTAGGACATTTGCAAACATAATGAATGACAAACAAGACGTGGCAACAATAGAATAAATATGATCAAAATTAATAACAAAACGACAAAAGACAAAATAAGCATATTACTTCAGTTGATCAATGAAGTGGCAAATTTGAAGAAAAACTTTATAGAACTTCTTGAAGCATTCTTTAAAATAAAAGGGTTCTAATAAATGCAACAACGATAATCCACAAAAGAAAAGAAAAAAATGCAGCAATCATCAACAATTAATAATAAACGACAAAAAAATAAATGAGACTGTTACATCATCCGATCAAACAACCTTGTGGCAACTTCAACAGAGAACTTTCTACAAATGTTCGTCTATTTAAGACGAAAACGTTATAAGATTTTCTTTGAACAACAAACAAGGCTGGACAACAATAGAATAAAATGTGATCAAAATTAATTACACAAGGTCAA